AGTCCACAAGTCTTAAAGTTGCCAAGGTTGGACACCCCTGGTTTAAAGCCAGAAATATTTTTTGTTAGGTATTTGGCCAGAAAAAATATAATAAAGGGAATGTATATTTAACACCACATGTTTTGACAGCAGTGAGAACGGTATGCCCAACATTGGAACAATGAGGAAACTCTTTCGGATGAAAATATAATCCAAAAAAATGTTAGATTGTGCAGAAATGGGTAGGTTAACATTAAAGATAAAGCATAGAGAAGAGACAGAATATTTTTTAACTTTGGAATTGTTTTGCCAATGGTTAGATAATAAAAGTAGAAATTAGAAGTTGGAGGAATACTATTATATATGTAAAGAATATGATTATGATGATGATTATGATTATGATTATGTCAAATGAACCAAACAATACACTGTCTATTAAATACTTATATAAAAGAAAAATGTATACAGTGTGTGTGTGTGTGTGTTTATGTGTGTGTGTATGTATATAAAAGTGAAGCTACTTCTTGGTCCGATCCTAGTTCCTTTCCCTCAAGGAAGAAGAATTAAATTGGTAACCCTATTTTGGCACGATCCATTCAAGACAGACTGAGACCTGTATCTGATGTCATCTCTCCAGCCTTATCTGCTTCTTCTTCTCCTCCTTCCCAGGGTTCAGATAACCTGTTGGACCTGCCCACTACCACCGATGGTATCCTTCTGCTTCCACACGTGACCAAGGCTGACAGTGGGACCTACCGCTGTCAGGTACTGGACTTCTATAGTCCTTCCGAGGTAGAACTGGAGAAGGACGTCAACATCTTCATCCATTGTGAGTGCCCCATGGAATGCTGGGAGAGAGAGAGAGAGAGAGAGAGAGAGAGGCCAAACCCTCCTTTTCATCATCCAGTTGCTAAGTTGTCCCACAGCAGAGGTGGTGGATTCAGCAGGTTCTGACCAGTTCTGGAGAACCGGTGGCAGAAATTTTGAGTAGTTCGGAGAACTGGCCAATCCCACCACTGACTGGCCCCGCCCCCATCTATTCTCCGCCTCCCGAGTCCCAGCTGATTGGCTGGGTCTTCTTTGGTTGCCCTGCCCAGGAGAATGGAGCTGGAAAGCAGGTTAGTGGGGTGGGGAGGGAATGCGGATTTTGAAGTATCCTTCCCCTGCCACGCCCACCAAGCCACGCCCACCAAGCCACGCCCACAGAACTAGTAGTAAAAAAAAAAAAAATTGAATCCCACCACTGTCCCAAAGGTGCGCTTGTTTTCAGGAAGCAACTGGACTTCCTTTTTTTTTTTCTTTGAAGACCTTTCGCTTCTCATCCAAGGAGCTTCTTCATCTCTTGACAAGATGAGAAGCGAAACGTCTTCCAAAGGAAAAAAAAACAAGGAAATCCTCTTTAAAAAAAAAGCACCTTTGGGACAACCATGACCGGGAGGACTGAGAATCTCGACAGACAGTTGCTAAGTGGCTAATTAAAATCAAGCCTCGTCTTCTGGGTTTCAGATCTGGACCCTGTGGTCCTCCACCCAACCAAGGTAGTGAAAGTCAACCGAAGTGAAGACCTTCAGTTGAACTGTTCTGGCAGTGGCTCCAACTTACCCACCTTGTCCTGGAAGAAGGTAGGTAGGATCTGCAAGGGCTTCCTTCGCAAGTCACACCTCTGCCCGGAACGCTGCATGGATCCATAGTCAGGACTTCTTCGAAATCCGGAGAGTTGACCAAACTGGCTGCCCCAGGAAATTTGTATACAAGTAGTTCTCTGTCATGTGCCAGCGAAAACAGAAGACCCGGGCCGTTCAAATTGATATAAAGGTTTATTGTAGAGCTCAGTGGCTAAGGACGCTGAGCTTGCCAATCTGAAAGGTCGGCAGTTCAGGCGGTTCGAATCCCTAGCGCCGCGTCATGGAGTGAGCTCCCGTTCCTTGTCTGCCAACCTAGCAGTTCGAAAGCATGTAAAAAAAATGCAAGTAGAAAAATAGGGACCCCTTTGGTGGGAAGGGAACAGCGTTCTGTGCGCCTTCGAAGGCGTTTTGTCATGCTGGTCACATGACCACGGAGGCGTCTTCGGACAGCGCTGGCTCTCTGGCTTTGTAACGGAGATGAGCACCAGCGCCCCCTAGAGCCGGGAACGACTAGCACGGATGCGTGAGGGTCCAAGCAAATTGGAGGTAAATAAGGAATTCACGATGGGCTGGACTCAGATCTCTTGTGCGCATGAAAGGAGTCATGATTGATGATGCATTTGACCTCCTCCTCAGGCTCTGCTTGGTCACCTGCTACAAGTCCTTACTTAGTGAGCACACCTGGGATCGGTAACCTGGTCACTAAATGACACGGTTGCTAGGAGGGATTTTACTTCAGATTTTATTTTCGCCCCCTCCACTCCCGTTAAATTCTTACCTTGATGCTTTGGTATCTTTCTTGATACCAAGAAAGAAATTAAATGTTGGTATTGACATTCATTGGAGAGGAAGCAGAGGTGGGTATTCAGCAGGTTCTGATCAGTTCTGGAGAACCGGTAGCAGAAATTTTGAGTAGTTGGGAGAACTGGCCAATCCTGCTTCTGACTGCCCCATCTATGCTCCGCCTCCCATTGAGTCCCAGCTGATCGGCTGGGTCTCCTTGGGTTGCCCTGCCCAGGAGAACGGAGCTGGAAAGCAGGTTAGTGGGGTGGGAAGGGAATGGGCATTTTGCAGTATCTTTCCCTTGCCACGCCCACCAAGCCACACCACGCCCACCAAGCCACGCCCACAGAACCGGTAGTAAAAAAATTCGAATCCCACCATTGCAAGGAAGGGATTAGAAGAGAATAAACAGGCAGACAAATGGGGAATACACATTGGGAAAAAAATGGGGCTACTCTCTTCTGATCTTTTCCTCTACAATCCCTCCACTGTGCCAGGCGGATCAGACACACAAGAGATTATACTCTGGCGAGGTGGGAAAATGATTTGGATCCTCACTGCTTTGGATACCGGTTTTAGTGCTGGTCTCGTAAACGAAAAGCTACGTTAATCTCTAAAAGCAAGGAATCCCGAACAGAATCGATCGGCCCTTTCCCCACCCAACAAGTTTGAAGGAAAGGCAGGATCTCCCAGAAGCCGATTTGGTTTCCGCGGAATTTCCCAGTAGGAGCCATAAGATTCCTTCGGATTCAATTTTCCTGCCTTGGTTTCGTGATACGAACCCCCGACGCAAAGAAGGGACCCCCGTTCTGCAGTTTGCCTTTGATTGAATTGAGGCTGTTATCTCTCCTGGGGGACCCGTGGGCAGGGAATCACATCTGGAGGAACAGCAGCAATTGTGGGGTGTTTTTTTTTAAAAAAAAAATTTCTCCTGCAGGGAAGGCAGCAGATGGGCAGCGGCAGGACTCTGTCGCTGGAACGGCTGACATACCCCATGGCGGGCACGTACATCTGTGAGGCTTCCGTGCCCAGCATCTCCGGACTGAAGCGGAACGAGTCAGTCCAAGTTATAGTAGAAGGTAGGTAGGTAGTGGTGTGTGTGTGTGTGTGTGTGTAAAGGAGGCGAAGTGGAACTGGAGGGAGGGTGCAGGAAAGGAAGATGCTGCAATCAGTAACTGGAAGAGGACAGAGCCGTTGAGCTTTTAACGTTTTAATCAGTTTAGTTCTATGCTTTTGATAGGATTTGATACGTCTTTTAATTTTGGAATGGGGGGCCTGCCAGAGATTTGGTTTATTTATTTATTAGATGTTTATCCTGTGGTTTTTGTTTTTTTTGTTTACTTTATAAGTAACACAAAGTGGCTCACACACACATAGTGTTTCTTCCTCCTCTTATTTCCCCCACGGCAACAACCCTGTGAAGAAAGTTGGGCTGAGAGAGAGAGAGAGAGGGACTGGCCCCAAATCCCTCAGCCGGCTTTCCTGCGTAAGGTGGGACTAGAACTCCCTGTCTCCTGGCTTTGCCCCTTAACCACTAGACCAAACTGGCTCCCAGAATGGTTTGAAAGAAGGGTAGCGCTCAATAAATAAACAACCTTCCTTTTTCCACCCTCCAGCTAGCTTGCTTAAAAGACTTCGAGGCGCCCCCGTTTTACAAAAAACGGAACTCTGGCCGGCATATACATAGTTGGAAGTCCACACATCAAAAAACATGGTGGTTTGTGGGGCTGGGGATTCTGGGAGTTGACCTTCACCCATCTGAAAACACGCCGGCTGGGGAATTCTGGGAGCTGAAGGCCACCCCTCTTCAAGAAGGAGCAGTGGGCTTTCAGATAGTTTAAAGACACTTTTGGGCCTGGGATTCTCTTTCTCTAGCTAACTTTCCTTTCGTAGTAAACAATTTGGCCCTCAAAAGCTCGCTGAGGTGTGACGCTCTTCATTCAGAGGTTATTTTTGACACCGCTTTTCCTAGAAAGGTGAGACAGTCCTGGCAGAGGTGTGAAGATTAGTAGGAACTGTCAGACGCTATAGCTCAGGGGGTGAGGACGGGGTTAGAAGTCACATCCTTTCCCCTCCCTGTGACTCACGTACACACAAGCATTCCAATTAGCTGACCTAATCTACTATTCACATTTTTGGGAGCCCAGCCTTAAAGCCTCAAGCCCTGGGATGCCAGAATAACAGAATAAGCGAGTTGGAAGGGACCTTGGAGGTCCTCCAGTCCAGCCCCCTGCCTAGGCAGGAAACCCACTGCCATTTCAGACAAACGGTTGTCCAACATCTTCTTAAAAACCTCCAGTGCTGGAGCATTTACAACTTCTGGAGGCAAGTTGTTCCACTGGTTAATTGTTCTCACTGTCAGGAAATTTCTCCTAGGTTGCTTCTCTTGTTTAGTTTCTACCTGTTGCTTCTTGTCCTGCCTTCAGGTGCTTTGGAGAATAGCTTGACTCCCTCTTCTCTGGGGCAGCCCCTGAGATATTGGAACACTGCTATCATGTCTCCCCAAGTCCTTCTTTTCATCAAGCTAGACATACCCAATTGCAGCAACCCTTCTTCATATGTTTTAGCCTCCAGCCCCCTAATCCTCTTTGTGGCTCTTCTCTGCACTCTTTCTAGAGTCTCAACATCTTTTTTTACATCGTGGCGACCAAAACTGGATGCAGCATTCCAAGTGTGGCCTTACCGAGGCCTTATAAAGTGGCATTAACACTTCACGTGATCTTGATTCTATCCCTCTGTTTATGCAGCCTAGGACTGTGTTGGCTTTTTTGGCAGCTGCTGCACAAGGCTGGCTCATATTTAAATGGTTGTCCACTAGGACTCCAAGATCCCTCTCACAATTACTACTATTGAGCCAGGTGCCACATATACTGTACCTGTGCATTTGATTTTTCTTGCCTCAATGTAGAACCTGACTTTTTTCACCATTGAATTTCATTTTGTGACATAGGGGCCAATGTCCATCCATCTCTCTCTCTGTGTCTCTCTCCTTGTCTCTCTCCTTCTCCCTCTCTCTCTCTCTCTCTCTCTCTCTCTCACTAACTCACTCTCACTTTCTCATACAGGAAAGCCAGAGGTAGACATTCAACAAACCATCCTCCAAGACCATGACCAGACGGTGAAGTTCACCTGTACCGTTTTAGGCCATCCTCCTCCAGAGATCAGGTGGAACATACCTGGTGGGGAGGTGAGTCTGTCCAAGGTCTGACAAGGTCCCTTCCCTCCTTCCTCCCCCTCTGTCCTTTCTTTCTTCCCTTCCTCCCTTCCTCCCCCTTTGTTCTTCCTCCCTCCCTCCCTCCCTCCCCCTTTGTTCTTCCTCCCTCCCTTCGTCCGTCCCTCCCTTCTGTGGTGCACAATGGTCAGAATGCAGCATTGCAGGCTAACTCTGCCAACTGCCAGCAGTTTGATCCTAACCATCTCACGGTTGACTCAGCCTTCCCTCTTTCTGAGGTCGGTCAAATGAGGACCCAGATTGTTGTGGGCAATCATGATGGTTCTATAAACCTCTTAGAGAAGGCTGGGAAGCAGTCTATAAGTCTACGGCGCTATATAGCGCTGTTGCTATGAATGCCAGCAATTGTTCTGCCTGTTTTAATGTGCCAAATCCTTTTTTTTTTTAAAGCTCTCTCTCTCACTCTCTCCAGGCTCCCGTAAAACACTCGGCAAATAAATATATTTCTGAATTGTTAGTGGAACTAACCCCCAAGCTAATCCAAAGTGGGGTTCAGTGCACAGCGGAGAATAAATACGGCTCAACCAGAAAGAACTTTAAGCTGAAAATGGGTAAGGAACTCCTTTTTTTCAGTCCACTGTGTGCCTGTTTGTGGTTGTGGGTATGTCCGTGAGTGGGCAGGGTGTTCTGATTCAGATGAGTCCTCGACTTACAATACTTCATTTAGCGACCGTTCCAAGTTACAGCGGCCCTGAAAAACGTGGCTTAACGGCCGTTTCTCAGACCGTCGCGGCTTCCTCATGGTCACGCCATCAAAATTCAGACGCTTGGGAACCGACTCGTATTTACGACGGTCGCAGCGTCCCGCGGGGATCCCTTTTTACGACCTTCCAACGAGCAAAGTCAACGGGGGAAGCCACCAGATTCCCCTAAGGACGTGTTACTAAGTTGACGCTTAACAACGATGGCAAAAAAAAAGAGGTCGTACAATGGGGACAAAGCTCCCTGAAAAAATGTCTCGCTCAGAAACAGAAACGTTGGCCTCTATTGTGGTCGTACGTTGAGGACTACCTGTAAATCTGTATATGTATAAAAGCGAAATGCCACTCATGCGTCATCACAAAATCTCCAGAACCGTAAAGCCTACAAACTTGAAATTTGCCACTTATGTTCCTCTTGGCTTCTAGGGGCTCACTAAGAAAGGATTTTTCCAAATGACCATCCAGAGCATTAATATTTCCTATATTATTATTATTAACACGGCTCTGATGCGAAGGAGTTCCACTCCCCCTCCCCACCTGAAAAGAAACATGTTCCAACTGCAAAACACAAGGAGAAGAGAGGAGTTTCCGTTTCAGTTTCACAGCACCAAGCAGGTTTAGTACAGAACAGTTGAGCTAAGCCACGCCTAGGCTCCTTGCTGTCTCCTACTTGTTCAACACAGCAAATACTGTTTCAGTTTCCAAACAGTCCTCAACTCTCTCACTCCTCACCTGAAAAGAAACCTGTTCCAACTGCAGTGGAGCTAAGCCACGCCCAGGCTCCTTGCTGTCTCCTTCTTGCTCATACAGCAAAATACTGTTCCAGTTCCCAAACAGCCCTCAACGCTCTCACACCCTGACAGGCTGCTAGCCAGATGAATACCGATGGATGCTGGTAGGCAGAGGCAAACATTTTTCCCCTTATTTTCCTCCCCCAAAAACTAAGCCCCACCACACAGTTTCGTAGCGAAGCACAGCTGTCAAGCTAGTTTAACATATATAACTTAGCCCAACAGCTGAACCCTGAGCTACAGATGGTCCTTACTACAACTGAGGCTGCGATTAAATTTTGGGGTGAAGTTTGCTAACCGATCTCTCTGTCTCTCTCTCTGTCTCCTTGTAGTAACTCCAACGCCCTCGGTCTCTTCGAAGCCAGCTCGTAAGTATATCCTTTCCATTTCTTCCTTTCTGTCTGTGTGCTCATTCGGAAATGGGCAGTTCAGGATGATGGGAGTTGTAGTCTAACGCAGCTGGGAAAACTCCCGAGTTAGCCGTTCCGGGCAGGAACGGTCCCTACTCTGGCGATGCTTCTTGCATTCGTCTGCATCGCCGGAGGAGTTGATGGCGCCTCAATCGCCTCTTGTTTTCACCGGTGCCCCCCTCTTTTTCCCCCCCCTCCCCAACAGTGGAGGAGGAACAGGGTCAAACCGGAAGCACGGTGGCGGTGATTGCGGTGTGCGTGTGCGTCCTTCTCCTGCTCCTGATCGTCGGCTTCTTCTACTTCATGCAACGCCGGGGCCAGCTGCCCTGCAGCCGGGGAGAGAAAAGATCGCTGTGAGTGAGAGTCGGTGGTGCTCGGCAACCCCCAATCAGTCCTCTAAGGCAGAGGACTCCAAACTTGGCGACTTTTGAGACTTGTGGACTTCAACTCCCAGAATTCCTCAGCCAGCCATGCATGCATGCATGCATGGCTGGCTGGGGAATTCTGGGAGTTGAAGTCCACAAGTCTCAAAAGTCGCCAAGTTTGGAGATTTCCCTGTTTTAAGGTGTTGTGCCTCCCAGGCGGCGGTTTCCCTGAAATTGCTCTAGGTATGGGGAGAGGAAGGAGGAAGAAAGGGGAAGGGAGAGAGGGAGGAGAAGGGAAGGGAAGGGAAGGGAGAGAGGGTGGAGATGAGAGGTGAAGGGGACGGGAGAGCGGGAAGGGAGAATGAGGGAAAGGGAGAGAGCAAAGGGGAAGGGAGGAGAGAGAGGAGAGGAAGGAGGGAGAAAGGGGAGGAGAAGGGAAGGGAGAGAGGGAGGAGAGGGGAAGGGAAGAGAGGATGGAGGTGAGGGGAAGGGAACGGAGGGGAGAAAGGAAGAGGCAGGAAAGGGAGGAGAAGGGAGAGAGGGAGGAGAGCGGAAGTGGAGGGGAGGGGAGGAGGAGGGGAGAGAGAGGAAAGGGGAAGGGAAGAAAAGGAAGAGGATGATGAGAGGGGAAGGGACGGGAAAAGAGGGACAGGGAGAGAGCAAAGGGGAATGGAGGGGAGAGAGGAGAGGAAGGAGGGAGAAAGGGGAGGAGGAGGGGAGGGGAGAGAGAGAGGAGAGGGGAAGGGAAGAAAAGGAAGAGAGGATGGAGATGAGGGGAAGGGAACGGAGGGGGGAGAGGAAGAAGCAGGGAAGGGAGGAGAAGGGAGAGAGGGAGGAAAGGAGAAGGGAAGGAGGGAAGCGGGAGGGTTGGGAAGGTAAGAGGAGGTAGAGAGTGTAGATGAGGAGGAAGGGAGAAGAGGAAAGGGGAAGGGAGAAGGGGAGGCTAGAGAAGGGGAAGGGAGAGAGGGAGGAGAGAGAGGGAAAGGGGAAGGGAGAGAGCAAAGGTGAGGGGAGAGAGGAGGAGAAGGGGAGAAAGGGAGGAGAGGAGAAGAGGGGAGGAGAGAGAGAGAGAGAGGAGGAGAGGACAAGGGAACAGAAGGGAGAGGAGGAGGAGAAACATGGGAAAAGGGAAGAAAAGAAGAGAGGAGAAAGGGAGGAGAGGAGTGACCGAAAAGAAGAGACAAGACCTGGGCACCTTAATCGCTTTTCACTCTTTAGTTCCAATAGACTGTAATTTCATTCTGGCTCTTCGATGGGCATCTATAGTTTTCTTCACGCAGACATTACATTACCGGCCTACACAACATCATCCAGTGCAGGGAGGTGGAATGAATTTTGCTGGCTGTTTATATATACCAGAAGTCCCCAAACTTGGCGACTTTAAGACGGGTGGACTTCAACTCCC